AATCTCAGATTAACTTCCTTAGTCTAACAAGAAAGGGGGGGGGGACTAAAATTCAAAATATTTTCAGAGCTATGGTAGTTTGACGTCTCTTTCTGTCACCTCCTTGAGATGGTTGGCCACTGGCATTCTCCAAGTCCATTTATTAACACACAACACCAGTAGCAGAGCTGGCACAAATAAGCAGGCAGCAGGATCAAGGTGCTGAGCCATTTTGCAGGCCAGTGACCTGCAGGGTGATGGCAGAGGCGTCTCATTCCTCCTGCCTCCAGCCTGAGTTTCCTCAGGATGGCAGAGAGGATTTCAAAACAGAGGAAACTGAAACCAAACCAAAACAAACAAAAACCACACCAAAGCAAAAAAAGACATGTGAGAAGGTCTATTAAGACCCAAAAATAACACCAAACTTCTGGAAAGTGCCAAACATTTATAGTCATTTTTAAAACAAACAAACAATCTGCATGTAAACAAAAGACAGCATATATACAGACAGTCTGTGTAGTATGTGCCCTAAATGTCCTCCAGGATACACAGAATGAAGACAATCTGGTTCTGAATAAGATATATAGCAATTCTGAAATAGTAGCCTCTTATATTTGAATTAAAAAATATTATATAGGTGCCAACAGATCAAAGAAGGGGAGGAGCAGGAACACTGCCCCTGAAATAAAGCTCAATCATCTTTAAATTGCATTCATATTGTATCATTTATTAATTCCCACTGTTGCTGTCAAAACCAGACCAATTTAAGTAAGACCACTTGAAGCATTTAAGCCATTTCCCAGTTAGAATAATTTGTGAGTCTCTCCTGATCGATACAAATATGCTGAACCATCCAGAAACGTTGATCAAACTGGATGAACATGGGTATGGACCACCTGTAAAATGTTTTCTTGGGTTAGGCAGTCAGGAGAAGGTGAGTGTTGAATTACATCAGTGTTGTCTCTGCCCCAGGTTCAGCACTTGAAAACATTAAAGCAGAGGGACATCAAATATCAAATGATAAGCAGCCATGAATTTATTGATGTACATGTTAATGTTGATATGAATGGCCAGGACACAGATATCACATCTTTCTGAAACACCTGCATGGCTCTTCTTAGTGAAGTACCTGAATTCTCACTGTCCCTAATATGCTGGTCTTCTTTCCTGTGAAATACAGAAAATATGGTTATTTTGCAGATAAGAAGAACAAGAACAATGTTGGACAAGGTCCAACAAGGACAGGGTCCCACATGTTTTTAGGGACCTAACTGCTGTTGAGATCAACCACAGAAAATTTTAGAGAAGGTTGCTAAGATCACTTCAGGGATAGAATAAAGCTGAACTGAACAACCCAAACATCTTTGATGATGTCCCAGACCTTGCCCAGTCACAGGAATTTTGTGTCTAAGGGTCTTGATCTCTGAGGTTAAAAACTTCTTCCTGAATTGTCTGGTCATCCCCAACTGTATCATTAGTGAGTGATAAAGTGGAATGGAAAAAATAAAGAAGTGATATATAAGTTTATGTCCCTTCTGCTGTACAGCATGCTTGAATCATAGAATCACAAAATGGTTTGGGTTAGAGGGGACCTTAAATATTGAGTTCCGACCCCCTGCCATGGGCAGGGACACCTTCCACTAGACCTGGTTGCTCAGAGCCCTGTCCAACCTGGCCTTGAAATAATAATAATAGCAACTGTTTGTGGAACATCTTGTCGAGTGACCCACTTTATCAGCTGCTCTCTGAAGTCCCGTTCAGCCATGACGTGTCCCCCAAGCTGCAGAACATTTCCTGGAAGGCTCTTGTTTACTCCCCAGGGAAATCCTGAAGCAAGCAGAGACATTTGAGTCTGCTGAACGTGCGTCAAGTACTACCAAGCCCAGAAGACTTCCTGGAAGTCTTCACAGTCGTTTCCAGGGGGAACAGACTGTTCCTACTCCACCTCCTGCCTGCGAAGCCCGAGCTGTGCAGGCATTTAACACACGGTGGCAGCCCCGCTCCACAGGGCAGCAATCCCGCCTGGCAACACAGAAATGCTCCATTTTCAACAATTTACCATAATAATTACACCGCCAATTTTTTCCCTAATACGTGCAATGATAAGGGACGTTTTTAAATTATTAGTTTTCCTCTCCTCTACTATCTTAAATATTTTAACTTCTATGAGATTTTTTTCTTCTGTGAATTTTTCTAATTGTCTTTAAATCACAGAATATTCTGAGTTGGAAGGGACCCACATGGACCATTGAGTCCAGCTCTTAAGTGCATGGTCCATATGGGGACCAAACGTGATTTTGGTGGTTTTAGCATTGTGTTCTAACAAACTGAGCTCCCTCCTTCTTCAGTTTCGGGGGAAAAGTTACAGGTCAGTTGTACCCAGACCTGATTTCAGCTGTTTTACCTGCTGATTTCCATGTCTAACTCTCCAGTCCCTTCCCATCTGCTCATATCCTTCTTTGCTTGTCTTGCTCGTGGTTTTCAGGTGCTATGCTGGTACCTTGAAGGGGTTTTTTACTGGCAAGACATCTGAAGTATTTGAAGTGACAATAATGATAGATATAACTTCACTTGCTCAGGGATTGTTTCCTACTAAACTGACTTCAGGCGAGCCCATAAGACCCAATAAAACACCAGATTACAACAAACAAACAAAAAGCAGAAGCAGACTACTCTATTTAAACATAGAAGGTTGTGTAAGAAAGCAAAGACCAGGCACAGGTGACTGGAGACACTTCGCTCTTGCTGGCAGATCTGTTGCAATTCAAAGTTCTCTCCTCTGAAGTAATCCAAAAACGAGGACAGAGTCAAAAAAAATCACATGTGTTTTGTGAAAAGGCAGGATTTTGCTGTCATTTGCTGCTTTTCATCATGCAACAAGGTATGCTGCTTAATCTCCTCGTGACACCATTTGTATGAGTTTAAGCCACTTGAGCTGAAGCTGGGCTATACAAGAAGTTTGGGAGGAACGAGCGGCTTTTTTTGTGAAAAATAAGAAACTGTAGAAAAATAGAGCAGTGAGGCAGCATAGACAACACAGAGTCGTTTTCTGGAGGAAAGGAAAACGTACACACAATTAGACATTGTTTGGTGGCAGTGACTAATCCTGTGCCCTCATCCAAGACCAATGTGCCCCGACCGGCTCTGAAGTCACCAGACCAGTGAGGGGTAAGGGAGAGACACCAGGCAGGGATGGACATCAGGCAGAACAGATTCACAAGTGCTTCCAGGTACACCTTGTGTAGTTTAATCCCCATTCAGAGTACAAAGTAGAAATGTCCTGACAAAGAGAGGCTTTGATATGCTGAATCCACAACAAAGGCTTAAAAAAAGATAAAGCCAGCCTGTGGAGGCACAAATGGAGTAAGGTATCCCACAGGAGGTACTAATGAAAGAAATATCCAGGGGAGTCCAGACCTACAATTAGCTGAACAGCATTGTTGAGCAGGAGCACTGTGTGGTACAGCACAGGCTGCAAACCCTGCCCCCAGGTTCTGTGCAAATATTTTTATCTCCTGCTTCTATGGCTACAGCACTGGCAGTGCTTGGGAAATCCCTGTCAGAATGTCCCTCTACGTGAGCTGCAGACACAGCAGTACAGTACGTGCCCAGAGCGGGTCTGACGCTCTGGGTTAAGAAAAACTACATTGTTTTGATAGCCTGTGGGTTGTGCCAACCCCATTTCCAGTTCCTCCCTCTAGCACATGGATCCATAACATGGGGTTTGTCACATGCCCAGGGGATGACACTCTAATAACTCCAAGTCAGATGTTTAGCTGTTTGTCACGGCTCCTGCGTGTCATCTTCCTGCCTGCTGTTTTTCCAGTGATGTTGTTGTTATTATTGAAGCTGGAGGAGAGATCTGGGAACTCGGTGCCTGATGAAGTGGGGAAGCAGGAGGGGCGAGTCTGGTGGCTGCACATCCAGAGCTGCATCATCAGGGCAGGAAGACAACAGCAAGATTTGTGAATCTCATCTCACGTGGGATTTGTTGGGAGAAGTCACCTAGCAAACCACTCACAGGCTGTGTCTCTCCATCAGGACAGGGAAGAACCCTGAAGCTTCTCCCTGATTTGTCATCAGCAATTCAAACCGAACAAGGCTCAGTTGCCTTGTGTGCAGTCCTGGGGATGGAAACAACCATTTATGGCACAAAGGGAGTTCGAGGTCAGTCTGTTAAAATTGCCAGGACATGTTGGTGGCCTGGGTGAAACAGGCCAGAAAAGTTCCTCTCTTTTGCCCTTGAGGACAAACCTATATCACCACAGACCTCCAATACACTTTGTTGTGCTGCCAGCAGTTAGGAAGCAAGGAGGTCAAACACAGGAATCATGGAAAGGTGCAATGCCACAGAACCAGAATTTTCCACTGGTCAGAACCCTGGAATTCCTTCCATCTTAGGTTATTCCCCATTGGACTGCACAAAAACAGTGCCTTCTGATGGATCCTCTGACACCACCTGGCAACTGTGGGGAAATGGCCACATGTCCTGGGACAGACAGACACGGGCAGTGGGGACATCTCCCCGTGACGTCACAGCGGCAAAGGAGACCTCCTTGAGACATCACAGAGGCAAAAGGGGCACCATCCCTGTGACGTCAGAGCAATGTGCGGTACAGCGGGGCACCTCCTTGTGACGTCACACTGGCAGAGGGGGACCTCTGTGTGATGTCACAGCGGCAAAGGGGGACCTCCCTGCAGGCCACCTCCCCATGACGTCTCAGAGGCAAAGGGGGACCTCCTTGTGACATCACATCGGCAGAGGGACATCTACCCGTGACATCACAGCAACAAAGAGGGGCTTCTCTGTGACGTCACAGCGGAAGAGGGGCATCTCCCCATGACGTCACAGCAGCAAAGGGGGACCTCCCGTCACAGAGCTCTGTGGGGCACCTCCCTCGTGACGTCACAGCGCCCGGCGGGGCACCTCCCCGTGACGTCACACCTCTCGGCGGCACAGCCCGGCCGCAGCGGGGGCTCCTCCCCGTTACGTCACGGGGAGGGGCGTTGCCGCCGTGACGTCATCGCGAGGGCGGGGCAGGCCGGGCCGCGGGGCAGGGTCGGATCCGCCGCAGCGCTCGGAGCGGAGGCAGAGCCCAGCCCAGCCCGGCACCATGAAGTTCCAGTACAAGGAGGACCACCCGTTCGAGTACCGGAAAAAGGAGGGCGAGAAGATCCGCAAGAAGTACCCGGACAGAGTGCCCGTGAGTGCGCGGGGGCTCCCGCGGGCAGCGCCGGCCCCGCCTTTGTTCTCCCTGCCGGCGCCTCCCGGGATCGTTCTTTAATGCGGCGAGAGGCGCTCGGTGCTGCCGATGGCCCGACCCGCATCCCCCGCTGCCCCCTCCCCGCGGGGTGGCCGCCTCCGCGCTGGGGGTGTAGGGTGTAATGCACCTTTTTTGGGGGGGTCCGCAGTGACTCGACGGGGAAGACGCTGCCCGTCTTTTTCTGCGTGGTGTTGATGAGCGGGGAGGGAGCTTATCCTGGTCTGTGAAAATGGAGGAGAACAATGAGTGGGTTAATCCATCGTAGGAAACATCATCTGTGTCCGTGTCATCTCGTATTTCCCTGTATTTTTATTTTACTACCTCCTAGCTTGTCTTTTCAATATATTCTTGCTTTGTTCTTTTCCTTTGCGTTGAGCAAAAAAATTATACTTCTCAATCTTTTTGCACCCCAGTGGACAAAATGTCCCTCAGAATGCAAGGTCATCCAGCTAAACTTTGCTTCCTCATTCCCCATTGCCGTGTCTGTGGAAAACTTCTGCCTTTATAATTATTAACAATAATTGAGGGAGAAAAAAAAAAGAAATGACAAATCTAATTAGTCGTGTTTGGGTTGGTTTGTTCTTTTTTTTTTCTCCTTTTTAATAAACCTATTGCAAATGTCTTTTTCTTTTCCATCCCCACTGGAGAAGTCTGCCCTAGATTTACTGCGTGCCAAAAATACATAGACACCCCTGTAAAACTAAGGACAAGGGGGAACAGCTACTAAACCCCATGTTTTCCCTACAGGCTAACAGCATATTCTTTATCTTGGAAGTGACCCTCAACTGGACTTGAAACAAGTGTTTGGAAGTCAGTATTTGGGTGCATTTGGTTATGGGATGCCTGCCATGGCACAGCAGGTTGAGTAAATCAGTAATGAAGTGTGTGTGGTTTGGTGTCTCATGGTGAGGACCTGCGAGGTCTGAAGTGAGACAGGCTGTAAACTGAGGATTAACATGGCAGGTTGTGCAGCAGGCCATGATAAGCGTCTCTGGAAGAGCCCAGGACCAGGCTTGGTCTGGCAAGAGGTAAAGGAGGTCAAGATACGGGGGCATCATCAGACCTTTATTAAGAAAACCAGGACCAAAATAACAAGGTGTGCTGTAGTTAAGGTTAGATGGAAATGCTGCATGGCAAGGCCCAGGGGGGAATTATTAAGGGTAGCCTGTAGTCAGAGCTGCATAGGAAGCAAATGGATGCAGCAGCCTGTTCTGCCCTTCCTGACAGCAGGATGCTTGTGGATGTCACTGGTTTGGCTGCCCACACTGCAGTGCCCTGATACATCTCAGCACTGTGCTGAGATTTTACTGTTGGCATGGCCCTGCATTACCACAGTTACCACTCAGCAGCAGAGGCACAGATAATCTATATCTGCCCTCTGGATTATCTTTGTAGGGGGTTTTGTGTGTGTGTGTGTGGAGGGTTTGGTGCTTCAGAAGAGATAACCTGCGTTATCAGGCACGCTGACTACAGTTGCCAGTCAGATTAGCAGGGCACCTCCACTCCTTCCCTGCCTCTTTGCAGGAGGGAGATCTCTCTTAAGCTCGGTGGTGATCTGAGTTAAATCTTCCCTAAATCTTCCATAGGGGCTTAGAAACCCCAGCAACACTCTCACCTCTTCCTCATAGGCATGACTTGTTCTCCTTTATCATCTGGTGACCAAGCCACCCTGAGTCAGGGCAGTCACAGCCAGCAGTTCTGCTTGCCAGTCATTTTTTTAATTGGGGGCAAGTGCTAAAAGTTTCTCTCCACTGCAGTTTATTGTGTTAGATACTGCCTGGTTGGATGTGCTGGTAAAAAAAAAAAATGTGCAAAGTCTTCCTGTTGAGTGAGATTGTGGAACTGTCATTCCTTCGAGGCATTTACCAACTGCATCTTGCACAGAAATGCACGTCCTGTACCACAAACTGCCTGAAAGAGCTTGAATACCTTGTTCTAATGTAGGTACTTGAAATCCTTGAAGTAGCAGAGACAACTGTGTTTCTATTTTAAAATCAAACTTGGAGATTTCAGGGGGTTTGGCTGTGTTGGCCACACTCAAATGGAGCACAGGCAAGAGATGTCCAGGCTGGGATCTGTGGGAGCACGGAACCCTTAGGAATTAGTCCCACGGTGTCTCAGTTGGAGTATTTACAATTACAGGGTCTAACAGAATTAAAAAGTTGAGGAAGTTTGTAAAATCCAGCTTTAAGATTTAGTTTGCATGGTCAAAATGGCCCCTGCAGAACAGCAAGCCACAAAGATGGAATCATGAACTCTGACCACTTTAAAAATACATATCACAACAACAAAAAAAAAATGAAGCCTGCAATTTTTTTCTGCACAAGCCCAGTAGTTCCAGAGGTTCCAGTGGAAGGAGGTCATGTCACTTTGGAATACTTCTTGCTTCTGAGGTAAATATTTGCCTAGCTCTGCTAACAAAAATTAACTTGTAGCAGAAGGTCTCTTGGTCTGTTTGACCTTAAGGCTGTTGAGCTTCATATTTTCCTATATTATAATGACATTAGAGTATAATGAAGATTAGTGGTTTGTGTCAAAGGTCTCTGTGGGTCCGGTTGCCCAGATGGTAGGCTGGGTTTAATTATTAGATATTTATATAAATAAGGAAATGTCCATAGCTGTATGAGGTGTGGAAAATATCCGTATTATTATCCACTGTAATATCCATTTACAGGATATGAATATCAGAGCAGAAGATACCTAATGAGGAACTGGAGATTTTTTAAATAAATTCCCCAATGAGCTGTAGTTTGTCTTTAATTCTTCATTCTAGAGCCCTTGGTATTGGTGAAAGTAGAAATTAGGATGTGGGACTACTGGGAGTAGGGCTGATTTTGTGCAAGGCAGTTTGGAACTGTAACCTGGAAAGTTTAAGTTACTTGTGATACTTCTTGTGTTCATGTATTGGCCTCCTGACAGCTGCTTCATACAAAATTAACCTGAATTGGGAACATCAAGGTGTCCTGATTTTTTTTTTTTTCCTCAGCCATTATGGTTTATTTTTATGTCTGTGCTGGACTCCTTTTTTCACTCACTGTGCTTACTGCTGCAGTCCTGGGCTCCCAGGACAGCTACTGTTAGTGATTTTAAGTCATCTTCTCACCTATCTGTTCCTTAATGCTGTGTATTTGTTATGGATTAAATAAATAGCTAAAGGCCTGGTAGCACCATCAAAGGATAATATCCACTGATGCTTTTTGGACCATTTTGTTTTATGATATTCATGTTTGTTTTCTTGCTTTCTCTCACTCTCTCTCTCTCTTCCTCCAGGTAATTGTGGAAAAAGCACCAAAAGCCAGAGTACCTGACCTGGACAAAAGGAAGTATCTCGTGCCTTCTGACCTCACAGGTAACAATGTTCACCTCCTTTCTTCCTGATTTTCAGCGAGAAAGCCTCAGAATTGCTTTTTACTCTATGATCAGCACAAAGAAAACATCCAGACAGGCTCAGCATCTTATCACTACCCCATTTCACCTACTGTCCTTGTTGGATTTATGTACCTTCCAGCTGGATTGCAAGATGGAGAATTCCCTGAGGTGTCCCACTGCCTTGGCTGCCATGGCCATGTCACAGCTGAGTTCTGACCATGACTGAATTGTGTATCATGGGCAGCAGCATAATCATCAGCCAGTGATGACCAGAGTTGCCAGAGGCTGTATTGTTGTTGCAGGAAGAGACAAGTTCTTGAAATAGTCCCATCCTTTTCCACCCCTGTGGTTGGAGTCATAGCTGCAAAGTTCCTGTTCTGAATGGTCACGGTGATTTTGTGTGTGATTACACTGGTTTTCATTGAAGAACCTGAATGAGTTAAGAGCATTTCTCCTTTTTGCAGTATGGAATGGACTGTGAAATACTTTCTTGTGCGACACAGTTCAAGCAAATAGCAAAGATAATTTTTTTATTTTAGGAATGGTATGACCATGTGCACCAAGGTTAAATTCCCCAAGGTGTCTTTGATCTGTGGGATTTAAAGGTTAAGCTAGTTAAGGGTCTTCCCACCAATCCCCTCAGTAGAGCATTTCATACCATAGTATGGAGTGTGGATTTACAGGGTACGTGGCATGAGGTGTGTACCTGAGAACCTGCCAGCTCTCAGTGGGTTGGCTGCTGATGTGATGAAGTAACTGCTTGCTTTTACTGCTTTTCTGTGCCCTGCAAAGTTCATTTTCTCCTACTTTTTATATACAGCATGTGCCTTCTACCACCAAAAGAAAACAAGCAGGGTTAGGGTTAAAAAAACAAAAAAGAAACAGCAACAACAAAACAAAAAAACCCCAAACCAAAACAAAAACTCCACCAACCAAGCAAACAAAAAACCCACAAAAATAAACAAACAAAACCCCAACCAACGTTGTTTCTGCATCTAAGGCCTTCTCTGTTCCTCTTCAGTTGGTCAATTCTACTTCTTAATCCGAAAGCGGATCCACCTGAGGCCAGAAGATGCCCTGTTCTTCTTTGTCAATAATACCATCCCTCCCACCAGTGCTACCATGGGCCAGCTCTACGAGGTAAGTCTGGCCCCTTCCTCTCAGCTTTAGTTGGAGTTTCCAGAAGAATGCACTGCTCAGCTGGCAGTGGGTTCAGCTTGGTCACAGGTGCTTGAACATGGACCCTTTTGCCCTGAGCTGTATCCCATCATCTGTCCAGGGAAGTTCCATCCCACAATTAGGAGCCTGGGGAGCCTTATCAATTCAACTGATTGTTTGCTGTTTGAAAGGGTTGTGGGGAGTTGTTGCCCCAGCAACGTGTTGGTCCTGCTGTTTTGACAAAGTATGGAAATAAACCAATTTATGTTTCACAGGAAGGATTGTGTCTGGGGCAGGGTCGGGGCAGAACATAGGCCCTGGCTTTCCTGTTTATACAAAGGAGATTTCCTTTCAGCCAGTAAAAGGACACAATATCACTGGGCAACCAACTGTCTATAAATAGGTTCTTAAGGAACACTTGTTCTTTGCTTAGAATTAGTTTTTCATTGCTTATGCTGTATAAGTAAGGACTATGTGGGATGCTGTGAACGTTGCTGCCCACTGTTTCTGCTGAGCACTGTTATTTGATCGACCTTAAAGGCATATTCAGTGCCCATCAGAGGAATGTCCCTTAGTTATACAGCCACTATGTCATGGGTGATTTGCAGCCTGCATTGATTTCTCCTTGATTTCTCCTTCTGCTGTGTTAGTGTGTTTTAATAAGAGAGCTGCAGCATGGTGCTGTGAGCCTTGTCTGACCTGTCACCCTTTGACAATCACTGGACTCTTCCTCAGTGTATGGAGTGATGAAGATAATAAAAGATAAGGCAGGGAGTTTTCCAAGTCTGAACACGTCAGAGGAAGCTGTCTGACTGTCCAGAACTGAGACTGACAGACTTTTTGTGTCAGTGTAATCACTGAATGTCTCAGCTCTACTGTCTGCCTGTAAAACACGACGTAGAAATGCAGCCACATGTCAAAGTGTTCTGAAAAATTAAAAATACCATCTAGAGGTGACTTTTTGACTTATTTAAAGCCTACCAAGTCTCTCCTCTCCATATGGCTCTTCAAGTAAATTCACTGTGCCCAGATATGTGTCGTGCCTGCGCTTGGAAGCAGAGCTGTGACCAGAGAGAGGGAGTTGGGAAGCGAAGCCTTCAATGTGAACGGGGAGAAACAGTGAAAGAGAGGTTATGCCCTTTAGTTACAGTGACCTCTGGGTTGGGCTTTTTCACATGTGGTGAGTTCCAGGGCTCTAGTTTGTTACTTTGTCCCTTTGCCCCCTTGCAGGATAACCACGAGGAGGACTATTTTCTGTACGTGGCCTACAGTGACGAGAGCGTCTATGGCAAGTGAGCAGCAGCCCCCCAGGCCTGCAGGGTGGATGGACTGATGGAGTGGATTGGCAGGGGAGGGGGTTGTTGGAGAGGCAGGAGGAGGATGCATGAGAAGAGGGAAAGAGAACTGGAAGTGAACCACCGTGCACACTGTCATCAACTTCCACGCATTAATTATAACCATTGTTTTTTAAATCAAGGGAGGGAGGGGAGGGGGCCAGGGTGGACTGGAAGACTAACAAGGGGTTCCACGCTGAGGGATGGGGAGACTCCACTGTTCACAGTTCTTCCCTTGCCACAGCTAGAAGTAGTTAGCTAGTTCTGGAGGCTGCTGGACAAGGCAGTGTGGGGAAGCTCCAGGAGAGTGACTGGGCAGGTGGCCATTCCCACGTAACCCGTTCACTGGATGAAGAAGGCATGCCACATATTGTACACTGACCCTGTCATGTCTTGCCCATGGCACGAGCCACACTGCTGTGAGCATTCAGTGAACTGTGAAATACTTCACTCTGCTCTCACAAGGCTGCCCTGTGCTGACAGTCCTCACTCCAGCTGCTGCATGTGAATTGTTCCAAGGGTATCGTGTTTCCCATCACTTCCATCAGTATTAGAAGGGCTGACTCTGTCCACCAGTATTAGAAGGGCTAACTCTGAGGGCTGGGAACTCCTCAGCTGTGAGACATGAATGTTGGGGAAAGGAAGGAAGGATTTTTTAAGGGTTTTTTTTTTCCCTTTGTTGCTTTAATTGCAACTGCTGGACAGAAAAATCAGAGATGGCCGTTTTGTTCTTTTCAATGAAGTCAACTGATAAACTCATAAGCACAGGGCTAGGAAGGACCTCAAGAGAAGGACTAGCCCCCACCAGCTCTGAGGCAGGACTGAGTACACCAAACATGTCCACCATGGCTGCTCATCACACTTGTTCTTACTGAACTTCCCTGAGGAAGACCCTGGAGGCTGCTGAGATTGACTGTTAGTTCCTAGCTAGCCTACAAGTGAGATTGCTTTTCCTGGTATCCTAACTTTAGTCTCCCTTGCTGTGCATTAAGACAACTAACTACTAGTGGTCTTGTTATTGATGAACACAGAAAATTATCTCTCAGTGTTGTCCTTGTAGCAGTCTTCTGCAGATCTGAGGATGGCAGAAGTCCTGTGGGTTTAGCCTTCTCTTCAGCCTCTCATCCCTGTACAGCCCTTGTACCACATGCACAAGTGGAAGAAATCAGTCACTGCCACGTATGTTTTGCTGGCTTTTTGTGATTGGATAATGGTGCCACTCTTTGCCACAAGAGAGGTTCTTTTAGACTTGAAGGGGAATAGATTATCTGTAGATTTTTTTTTTAAATTATTTTATTTTAAACCAGTGTTGTTCTTAGAAAGGTGCCAGGTGGGTGATGTCCTGTGCAAGCCTTATGCTGTCATGCCAAAGCAGTTTTCTTCCCAGTGGCACAAACAGTAGATTTTCCCATAACTGCCATAACTGTGATGAAGGAATGGGTTTTGGAGAGTGAGCTGACTTTCAGGAAAATTCTGGGGTCTCATCTAAAAATCAGAGAACTAAACCTGAATTACTGTAAACATTCCTACATTTAAGAGAGGGACCAAGAGGGAGGTAAAGGCAAGAAGGATGAAGAACACAGGCAGACTCCACAATAAGTTGAAGGTGTTTGCTCTATTGTTTATGAAGTTAGATCCCAGTTCCCTGTGTTCCTCATGAATGAGAAATCAAGAGGAGTGCTCCTCTGATTGTGGGAAACAGGAAATCAGGTTTCAGCCTTCTCTGGGTGTTGTTATGCAGAGGTGCATGAGGTAGAAGAACTCAAGAGAGTGTCAAGGGGGAGTCACTGGCAGAACTGCTGGAAGGTCAGGGAAGGCAGTGCAGAGGGGCAGGAGGGTTGCTCCCGGTGGGCAATGGAAAGTAGCAGAAGAGTGGGAGAGAAGGGAGGAACCACAAAGGATGTAGACAGACTGGTCGTAACGGGCAGACAGAAAATGAGGGAGCAGAAGATGAAATGGGGGGTGTCATATCCCCAGTGTTACAACCCTGAACTTCAGGTTTGCTGTTCCATCCATCTGGAATAAATGTGTTTGGATGAGTTGTACCTACTGCCAACTTGGGTAACTTCAGTTTTCTGCTTGCACTTCTCAGTCCTCTCTTTTAGACCCACTCCCCTTCAACTACCAGGCTCTCTTCACATCCTTTGGGTGCAAATCCGTATCATGTTTTAGGAAGTTCTGAATGTTCTGAAGCAAAGAACAGACCCAGGGAGCTTTCTAGGGTAAAAGACAGGAGACAGGCAGCTGGTGTGCATCTCTCTGCTGCTGTCCCACTTGTCCATGTGTGGACTGCCAAGCACGCTCAGGGGAGAAGGAGTTGGCATCTGGGGTGCTTGGTTTTGTGTTCAGACCTCCCCTCCCGCTGCTGGGTTTATAAATGACATGTGGGACTAATCACAGCTGTTTGTTACATGTAGAGTTTACAGTTCAGTTCTTTTAACAGTTCTTTTAACTGGATTGTGGCATTTACTTCTGTTTTTGTGCTAGTCCGGTATTGTATGAGGTAATGATGGTAATTTTTTTGTGTTGGTTAGCTGCAGGTTCTTGTAAAATAAAGTTCAGACTAGAGCTTAATCAACCTATCAATAAAGATGCATTTGAAAATCACAGATTGGTCCAAAATGGGTGACTGACATTTCTTTCTGACATGGGCTTATATATAAAGGGACAGCTTTGCCAGAACTTTGCTACTACTTTATTTTTTTGCTACTTTTGCTACTACTTTTTCCCACCACCCCAGATTTACTCAGTCCTGTCTACCAGGACAAGTCACTAATCTCCTTTTTTTGGTGATACTATCACATACGCACCTAGCTCTGTCTTGCCATACCACCAGTAGGAATTTTAATTAGACTTGGATGATGTGAGGTTTTAAGGTGCATAATGGATGCACTGAGGCTTTTTCTGACATTTTAAGGCCCTGAACAGTCCTTGCCAGCTGATGGGGCCTCAAGAGCATCACCAGCCCTGACTGTACATGCCAGGCCCCCAGAGGGGGGTCACCATGGCCCGGGACTGTGGGCATCTGTCCTGGCATTGTCCATTTCAACCCCCTCAGGACCGATTTTGGCCTCTGTCCTGGTGATGCTGCAGCAGGGCTGGTCTCCAGCTCCCCACAGCCCTTCCCAGCTACGAGCCCCGCTAAGCCAGGCCTACAGGGCCAAGCCTCAGCCCATCCCCATGCCCACAGCCCTGCCATCGCTGGGCCTGAGCCTGAGCCTGGCCTGCCTCATCACCACGATGAGCCTTATGGATGGGGCTTGTGCCTGGGCCTGGCCACCCTCCCTGGCCGTGTTGGGTGCAGTGGAGCGGGTCCCACAGTGCCCTGTCACACATCCCTGTGGATCCGCTGGACCTTGCTGGCCCATCCCGGCTCGGGCTCAGGTGGGACTCCCAGCGAGTGTGGGAGAGGCCCCAGGGCCCTCTAAAGATAGGAAAAGCAAAGCTAGGGAAATCTGGGACTCCTTGAAAAGGCAGCCTGCAGTGGTGATAAATCAGGCTGCTCTTCCTGGCAGATATTGGTGTGTGGAGAGGGAAGGAGTCGTGCCGGGAGCTGCCGTTTGCTCAGTGCCAGAACTCGAGTCGGGAGCTGGCAGTGCACGGGAGGAAAGGGATTTGTGCTGTCACCTGGGGAGGAAAGGGATGTGTGCTGTCACCTGGGGAGGCAGTGACAGACGTGCCACTTCTCCCGGTCCCTGTGGCCCGTGGGGGTGCTGGCAGCAGGAGCAGCGGAGATGGGCCCTGAGGAGGAGTGACCGCCGGATCCAACCCTGCCGTGCTCTGAGCAGGAGAATTCCTTGGAGCGCTGAAGTCAGGAATTGCAACACTGAAACCCACAGGAACAAAACCTGCTACGCTTAATAGGATCTTCTCCTCCCTGCTGCATACAGAGTGGAACCACTCTGTGAGCTTCTGTTGAGAGTGCCAAGGGCGAGGCAGGAATTCATCCTGCACTGGAGCCTGCCCATAGCAGCAATTTCTGTGCTCGTACCCACTACTGTGACTAAAACATGCTCCCCTCACATGGCAGGAGGGTGCTGTGACTCCAGTCAGATGGGCATAGATCAGCTAAAAGCTTACACTATTAGCTGAAATAATTTGAATTTCAGATTCAAATACAGTGCAGGTTTTTCTGTGGGTTGTGGCATTGTCTGCTGGTTCGAGTAGGAAACCACTATGAAGTATGTCTAAGTAGCCCTCTCCCACTCCCCCTCTCCCCCATTTCCTAGGAACATGGTGCCACGGTGATGTTTGTACCTGCCATGCTGTGTCTGTGTCAGTGCCATCACTGAGAGGCACAAACACAAAATGTGCAGGCAAGCATTTACATTTACCTATTTACTGCGTGTGATTTGTCTGGTCCAAAGGTGAAACATTATCCTGTGCTCAAAGGCTGTTTCATTTATATCTGTAGCCTTTGCTCTGTGGGTTATAGAAATGGTATTGAAGCAAGGCCTGGGGGAAATTATGGGCTCAGCTGGTTTAGGAAGGCTGAGTAATTAATACTCTACCTTGGTCACTGTCACTGCACATGGGGTCCCTTCTCCAGTCATTCTGATGCTTGCTTTGGAAGGAAACATTCTCCTGGAGCAGAGACTACCTAAGGAAAGAGATGGCCTGAAGCATTAGGGCCTGACAACATCACTGTGAAGGATATATATGGGTAACATAAAAGATCCCAAATTTTGCTAAACACTGGTGTTTTCACTCCATAAAACAGTCATGTGGGAGGTGAAAGAAGCGCTGATTAAAACAGAAATAAGGCCATCAGAGGGACAAAGTGCAGCTCATTGTTGTCATTCAATCTCAGATAAATGCTCCCCCAGGATGAGCCACAGAAAGGGCCTAGGGCTGACCCAAGCAGGACTGACCCAAGCAGAGCACACTGACCACAAACAGCAGCTGCCCCAGCTTGTGCTGCCAATGGTACAAGTCCCAAAGATTTGTGTTCCTGGAAGCTGGCAGGCATCCCAAAGCACAGCTCAGGCCTGGATATACAAGTGTTACAGGAAATATTCTCCTGAAAAAGCTGGATGTTGCAGCACCTTTCTGTAAAGCAAGGGTCTGATTCTCCCTGATTTTACTCCCTGGCCAATGTCATCTACATGTGTATTGTTCTTTGGGAATGAAAGGATTGCTAATCAATGCTATAAATAGAAGAATAAATGCTCTGTGTGGAAGCAGGAGGAGAATGCAGAGATCCTGATTTTCAAGTGATGACATTGCTGGAACTGCATTAAGGTTGAAGGGACTGGTTTATGAGCTGAAGGAAAAACTGATCCAGTTCATCTCCTCTCCAGTCTTTATTCATCCCACAAAGCTTAGAGGAGTACCCCAGGATTTCCATACCCACTGATGTCCAGCCACCTTCTCTCTCAGAGATGACAGAAGGCTGAAATCTGTTCTCATGCAGCAGCACCTCCAATCTCCATTACCTGGGGTATTCCTGTAAGCTATGGAGGGAAATAAAGACTGGACAGGAGATGAGCTGGATCAGTTTTTCCTTCAGCTCATAATCCAGTCCCTTCAACCTTAATGCAGTTCCAGCAATGTCATCCCTCGAAAATCAGGATCTCTACGTTCTCCTCCTGCTTCCACGTATAGCATTTATCCTTCTATTTATAGCATTGATTAGCAATCCTTTCATTCCCAAAGATACTTGGCAGCCAAACACTGAGCAGGGCTGAAAAATGCCTCACATCACATGTCATTCCCACGACAAATACACACTTCTTAAACACACCACCTTGACAAGTACGGTGTGTACAGGCAATCAGAAAAGAAAAACAGCAGGATGTGCACCCAGCCTTTAGGATGATGGACAAACATGCATTATTCATTAACAATACACTCAGAGCAGCTGGAGCCAAAAGCCATGTGCCAAAAATAGCCACTGGAGAGTGGAAATCAATAGGGAAACACTGGATTAGGAAAAACACAGAGAGTAATACGGACTCATGGGCTTCAGGTGATTGCAGAAAAGCTTTCAAGTGTAAACTCTGCAGATATGAAGGGCAATAGAATAAAGTTTTTAGGAGAGAAAAACTAGGAGACAATGGGCAAAAGGACAAAACAAGCCTTTTAGAATGGGAGCCAAAAAAGGCAGGAGTCAAGCTGCAATGCACTATGTAAGAATGTACATAAAAATGATTGAGGGGATGGTAATATAGGTTAGAATCTGAAATAAGTATTGTTCTGTTTTCCAGTGGTTGTTCAGAGGTAACGTTGGAATATTTCAGCTCTCACTCACAGTTCATTTGTTCCTGGGGGCATATAACAGAAAATGAGCAGTGACAGGTCTGATCACAGTCTGCATTTTATTACTTCACACTTACATAATAAGTTCTATATGCCAGTCTCTGTTCTTTCAAAAATACCGATCTATTCAGACTTCCAGTGGCCCAGTGGGGGTAGTTCTTGTTTTCTCCAGTCTGCTGCTGGGGAAATGGAGGTGCAGAGATGTGGACTGACTTGCCCCAAGGCCATACAATGAAACAGAGTCAGGACCAAAAAAAAAATAGCCTTGTCCTCCTGATCCTCAGCACTTTTAATAACAAGCTTATACTCTTTACAAAGTAAAATTTGAGTTGTGGATCCTGTATATTCATATTATCTTTAATTAATGAAAGAACCCCTGATCATCTCTGGGAAGAGACTGTTGTAACATTTTGATATTCTGCCACTTGTAGCCTGGAAGAGCTCTGATTTCTTTGCCAAAACCAGCAACAATAAGGTGGTCCCTGCTCCTGACATACTGACAAGAAAACACTGCTGAATTGTCTTTGAGCAGCAGCTCCCTCCAAAGCTCATTGTTTCATTTATCAGTGCCTTCTTTCTCTGGAACAAAAAAAAAAAAATCACAGTGCAAGCCTGGAAAAAGTGCTTTTTCTTCTTGTCATTTGCCTTTTTTTTTGGATTTTCTGGCAACTTAAAAGTACTTAGCATCTGCTCTCCTGTTTTATTATGAACAGGTTTCATAAAATTTGCAAACTTTTGGCTGTTCCAGAAGGCAGAATCAGGTGGATGTTTGGACTGATTTCCGAGCTCCTGAAAAATCACAGAGCTGCTAAGGCAGGTTCCTATTTTGACATATTCTTTTATTGTAATATTCTCATACTTTCCCAGAAAGCAGAAAACACACACAAACATGGTTTCCCATGTGGAATAAACTGCAATTTGATGGAGTGCCCTGACACTTCTCTTTGACTCAGGGGTTGCAGGTCCGTTGCTCCCACAGCTTGGACATTTTCTCTGCTTCCTGCAGCTATTGGGCTTGTCCAGACTACAAAGCTACAAAAATCTCCTCTCTAGCAGCATATTTCTCAAACAAAATAATGAAGAAACAATTATAAAAGGAAAGTAAGCTGCTGCTCCAACAGATTTAAGAAAGAGCCCCACCCACAAAAGGGAGGAGACGTGAGGAGACACATGAAAGAAGTCATTGCTGGGGACATCCACTGAACCTGAGCTGGGGGAAGAGGAAAAAACCTGTTTACCTAAATATTTGTTACATTGTTTTGGGTTTTATTCCCTCAGTGTCCGAGTCATTAACCAAAGGTTTGCACTAGTTGGCAATAAATTGAATAAAACTCCCCAAGTCAAGACTG